CTGGGAAGAGGGGCCTGTTTGCTCACACTGCTTTGCTCTTGTCCTGCTTCAAACGCCAATAAAAGTCTCGGTTGCATCAGCTGGCCCTGGTCGTGTGTCAGTTCAGGGGGAGCTCAGGGAGAACAAACCCCAGCAGGGCTTCAGGAGGAGATGGGGGTTGGGAAGGTCCCCAAGACAGGGACCCTGTTTCACCCAAAGTTCCCTTCCTGCACTTCATGTGTTGGCAAACTGACCCGAGTCCCTTGGGAATCCTCAGTTCTCCTTCACCCTGAGGGTTTCCCCCAATCCAGAGGGAACCGTGGGAGTTGCAGACCCTCCTCCTGCTCTCCACGTGGAATCCTTGTCACGTCCAAGATCCCTGGAAAGGCAGGACCTGGAATTCCAGCTTTCCTGGGTGCTGAAGTAGAAGGTGCAGCCTGCCCTCCCCTGGCCAACGGGCAGATCAGGTGCCTTTTCCAACTGCAGACTCCCCCCCCAAAAAAAAAGACAAAAAAAAAGAAAAAAGAGACACAAATTTGTCAGTCACACAAATCACATCCCTGCTTCCTGCAGGGAACTCACAGGTGTGGCCTTGGAAACACAAAATGCCAGAAAGACACTAAAAAAAATAAAATAAAATAAATAAACGCACCTCCACCTGACCTGAAGGGTAATTTTATTGCTGATTATTTATAGTGCACAAGTGCAGAAATGAGCTGGAGATGAGGATTTTCAGAGAGATTTCACTTGGCCGCCTCGGAAAGAGAAACGTGGATTTAGGGAGCGGGCGAAGTTCCCGGTGCCCTGATCCTCCTGGGGAAAAGGGAAGGTTTGGGAAGGTTTGGGAAGGTTTGGGAGGGGGTGAAGCAGCCCCAGGAACGGTCACAGCCAGATGTCAGAGGTGCAGTCCCCCCCAGGGTAACGCATCTCGTGGGCCAGGCAGGGCCCGTCCGGCTCCTTCCCAAAATCCACCAGGAAGTTTTCGTTCACTGCCAGCCCCCCTCTCTCAGTGTCCACGTCGATCTGCAGCATCACAGAGCCTTCCCTGCCAAAGGGAAGGAGGGAACAGGCGGTGGGAGGAGCCGTGGCAGGTTAATTGGCTCGTTAATTAGCCCGTAATGGAGGCACCGAGGTTTCCTTACCGGAGAAGGTCTGGGTAGAACTGCTTGTCCCAGCCGCTGTACAGGGAGTTGGTGACGTACAACCTCCTCCCATCCAGGCTCAGCTGCAGCATCTGAGGCCCACCTGGAACCTTCTTGCCCTAAAATGAGCGCAGAACGAGGTTGCTCGAGGTGCCACATCCACCCCCTTCCCCAAAACACTTCCAGGGACGGTGATTCCACCACTGAACGAGGTTGCTCGAGGTGCCACATCCACCCCCTTTCCCCAAAACACTTCCAGGGACGGTGATTCCACCGCTGCCCAGCTTTGGTGGCCAACGGGTTTCAGTCAAGGCCACCTTCAGCCCTTCCACATCCCGAGACCTTCCACACAGGCAGCTGCCTCAGTGGGAATAACTCCAGCTCAGTGGTTGGGCTCCGTGGGCTCACAGGACTTCGCCAAAATTAATGATTTTACTACTTTTTTGGGTTTTTTTTTAACTGGAGAGGGAAGATTTAGGCTGGATATCAGGGATAAACCCTTCCCTGTGACGGTTGGTGAGGCCCAGGCGCCTGCCCAGGCCATAAAAGGTTTTAATTACCTTTAAATAATTGGGCATCTCCAGAAGGACTAAAACCAGCACGCTGGGCAAACTGACCTGGATGACAAAGGGCTCGGGCTGGCACTGCAGCTCCTTGTCCTCCAGCACGGTCACAGGGCCCCCCCTGCAGATGCTGCCCCCCAGGAACACCTGCAAGCAGGAAAGGGGTGAGAAACAGGCACCAGCCCCACCCCAGGAATGGGAGAGAATGAGGGGTAAAACCCTCCAGACAAAGAGAACTGTCATTTTTTAACTCCTCCTGGGAAAAGGAGGAGGAGGTGACACCCAGGGCTGGAGCCTCACCTGCCCCACCAGTTTGGGCCGGCGGGTGTCGGAGATGTCGTACTGCCGCACGTCCCCGTGCAGCCAGTTGCTGAAGTACAGGAACCTGTCGTCCAGGGAGATCAGGATGTCGGTGATGAGGCCTGCCAGGGGCAAATCCCACAGCCAAGTCAGGAGGATCGACAGCAAACCATCCCCCAAGTCCCGCCCTCTGCCCAAGAGCTCCGGTGGCAGCAGCTCCAAAACACACACGGACAAAGGACCACAACCCACCCTGCAATCCCAGGCTCTGCCAGCATTCCCAGGACATTCCCAAACACCCTGAGCTCAGGTTTAGAGTCCAAGGATTCTCCTGGAGAAAGTGACCTCAAGCACGGAGCAGGGTGGGGAGCAGAGCTCAACCTTCCGTCCGGTTACCCTGGAGGTGCCGCACAAAGAACCACCCTCTCCCCAAATTTGGTCTTTTTTTTGCCATTTAGGGACAAAATCAGGCAAAAAAAAGCTGCTGTGGAGCAGGGAACTGATGAGGAGAACACCCCAGCACGGTCCCACTAACCAGGCATGTCTGGGAGGAGCCAGCCCTGCACCTTCTTGGTGGGCACTTCAATCACCTTCTCCTCTGCCCAGTCCCCTTTCTGCGGGAGGGAACACAGGGTGATGTGGGGTGATGGCTCAAGGAGGGTAAAATGGCCTTAGGTGAGGGTGGGGAGGTTATTCCGTGGATGCCCCACCCCTGGGAGCGTTCCAGGCCAGGCTGGACGGAGCTCTGGAGCAGCCTGGGCTGGTGGGAGGTGTTGCTGTGTCACAGTTCTGATTTTAGCAAGAAATGTTGTCTTTCCTTTCCCCTTCCCCCTCCTGCCTGTGTGTGTGTTTATGGGCCATCAGATAAACAAAGGAGTTGGCCTGAGCCCTAAATGACCAGACATTAATCTCCTAGCAACCAAGGGGGAGGAATTGGGGAAAGGCCAGGGTGTGTGTATGGAAAATGTGGGGAGGAATTGGGAAAAGGCCAGGGTGTGTGTATGGAAACAGGTGGGGAGGAATTGGGGAAAGGCCAGGGTGTGTGTATGGAAAGGGGTGGGGAGGAATTGGGGAAAGGCCAGGGTGTGTGTATGGAAAGAGGTGGGGTTTGGGGGTTGGAGCTCAGCTCTGGAGCCGGAGGGGAGGCTGCAGCAAGCAGGAGAGACTGCCTGGTTTCTTCTTTTGTCTTTTCCTGTGGGAGAGGAGTTTGTGCTGCTGTCTCTCTGCACAGTTGTCGGCTGGTTGCAGGCTTGGTTTTCACCGCGAGACCTTCACCAACTGAGTTGTGAGTTTTTTCTTCCATTGGGAGAACTTTCTGTTTCCCTCCCCCTTCCCCCCCTCCTCCATCACCACCCGGGACAACCAGGGATCCCACAGCGCCGCCCGGTGACGGGGGCTGGACATTGCAAGTTCTGCATCTCCAGTGACCCAACGGCGCCCCCTGCTGACCGTGGCTGGAACTGCACCAAAGGGCGCTAAAAATTGAACTATTTGATTTTCTTTTTTTGCCGGTTTTATCGGTTTTGTCCTTGAAGGGGATTATTGGTGAGTATAGGGGTATTGCTTGGTTGTTTTACTTGTTTTTGGTGTTTTTTTTCCGTGTTCCTGTTAATACACACACCCTTTTATAAAGGGCTGTTATTTTTTTTCCCTTTTCCATAATTTGTTTTCCATCAATCGGAGCCTCTTAATTTCGGATTTATAATTGCTAGAAAAGGAAGTTTGGGTCTTTTTCTCCTAATCCATCCTCAGCAAAAGACCTTTGTCTCATTTAAACTGGGACATGCTGCCCTGAACAAGCCGCCCTTTAAGGTTGTGGGATCACTCCGACCCCGATTCCACCGTCCCATCCCATCCCCTCTCCCACCCCCAGGGTGCCCTGGCCTGGGGTGTTTTTTTCCCCTCCCCCTCCTGGAGGGGCTGACCCACCTGTGTCTTGTAGAAGCGATGCACAGCCCCACTCAGGGCGCACCCCACGAACCCCTCGGCCGCCGCCGGCTCGTGCAGGAACCGGATCTCCAGCGGGATGGATCCCTCTCCCAAATCCAGGGCCTGCAGCAGGACGTGGCTGCTCCAGTCCCACACGTTCACGTGGCGCCCGTAGTGCCCTGAGGGGCAGGAATAACTAAACCCTCTTATAGGGGAAAGTTTGAGGGAATAATTGTAGTTTTTAAGAGTTTTTTCCTCACCTTTCCCCACATCGGCAGGGTTGAATCCGTCCCTCAGGGCTTTGGGAACTCCCCACTCCGTGCTCAGCAGGACGTTGTGCCGGGGTTGGTACCAGAAGTCGTAGCCCAGGGAAGGGACCTTTCCCCCTCTCTCCCAGTTGCCTTTCACTTCGAAGGTCTCCCCGTCCAGCAGGATAAAACTCCCTGGCACAAAGGCCCCCCAAAAAATATTGTTGGCAGACGTTCCCACGGCTTTAAATAAGAGCAGTGATATTTAAATATTTAAATAGCTGTTTTTCTGAACGGTGCTGTAAAATGCAACCCCTACACTGGAAGGATATTTTGTGATTCTGGCTTTGCTTTCGCCCTTCAAGGAATGCTTTGTGATTCTGGTTTTGCCCCTTGTGGCCCTAAAGCAAACAAAATCCTGGATTTTTAAAGGCTTTTTATCGCGTTATCGTGAATTTTTTTAAGGTCCAGTTTGCTTCTGTTTCTGCTGAAATCCATCCCAGTAAATCCATCAGCCCTCTCTTAGGGGATATTTCAGTATATCTTAGAGAAGATCCTGGAGGATTCATTCACCTTGTCGCTCAGTATCCTTGAATCCTGGACATAATAATCACCTGCCCAAGGAGGTGTTTGCCCCCTGATCCAGCAGGAAAAGCCCTGGGAAATGGAAATGAAATCCCACCCCAACTACATTTCTTCTAATTCCTCCCAGCTCTCGGGTGGCTGAAAAGGCAACAAAATTTCCAGGCAGGAATCCCTGTGAGGTTTGGAAGTGGGAGGTGCAACCTGGGACAGCTCGAGGAGTGCGTTTGGAGGCAGATAAATGATTGTTCTGCGCCCTGAGATTTAAAAAGCTCTCCTGCTTTCGCAGCCTGGGCTCTGGGAGGTGGATCCTGCCGTGCCAGGAATCCTCTCCCGGAGCAAGGAAGGGGGAGCAGCACCTTTGCCGTTGCCAGCAGGGTCCCCCAGGCAGCTGATGAGGATGTCCCCAGTGCCCAGGCAGTGCGAGGTGTGAGGGTTGGCCACGTTCCCCTTCTGGAACAACTCCAGAGGCTCAACCACCTGCAATGGGATGCACAGAGAGGTCACCCCCTGCCCTGAGTGTGGGGCACCCACCGTGAAGCAAAGCCAAAGAATTACACAGGGAAATCTGGACATTCAGAGCCAGCCCTCTCTGCCAAACGAATCCTGGGTGAAAATCCAAGGAAATTTGAATCCAGCCCCCCGGAAAACACGGTCAGCTGAATGTGCCGTGTAGGGGTTTGCCTCTTGTGGTCAAAAACAGTGGCTTTGACTGAAATACTGCAGAGGCAGCTGAGGGACTTTTAAAATTAACTTAAAACCCACCACATTTGCTCGTGTTTCTTGGGGGACAACAGTTTGGCGTCAACAAACTGTGGGAGTTTCAAAATTCCTCCTGCCTGGCAAAGGTTTCCATGAATGTCCTGGAGGTTGGAATCCTTGGGAGTGCCCCCACCTCTTGGCCAAAACGGATGAGGAATAAAAAGGTGATTTAAAGCCCAACAATCCACCTTGTGGAGCCTGGGAGCCCTGGGG